CCCCCACCCCCCCCCCCTTTATCTATGACTACAGACCCAAGATTGAGGACCACTCAATAAACGTAAATAAAATAATCATTCTACAAGACAACTAATTTAAAACACACACTACAAGACCATTAATTAAAAATATATATTAAATTATTTCACTATAAGCGAGTTACACAATATTAACTTATTAAACACAAGACACAAATTTTGAGAATCACCCAATAAAAAATCAAAATATAAGTATTTTAAAGTCTTTAATTATACAACTAGAGCAGTCATAGTAAAAATAGAAACTACATGTCAATTAATACCTATTAAATTGTCATACTTTTATGAAAAATTAACTTTTAAAAACAATAATTATTAAACTATTTTTTTTTAAAATCACACAAGAAAGATAATTATTAATTAAAAGCAAATTAAAAGTAATTAGGTTATTACCACCCCTTAATTGACAACGCCATGTACCCCCACCCTCCCGCCCCCCAACTTCCTGCAAGACGTGTTATACTTGATTTGCGTCGTCACCTCCTGCAAAATACGGCTAAAAGACGCCTTACTATACTACTGATGTCCTCACACTAGAGATTGTAGGAGACGTCCTAAACCTGGAGATTGTAAGGAGACAACCCCAACCTAGACATTGTAGGAGACTTCCTCCACCTAGAGTTAGTAGGAGAAGTCCTCTACCTAGAGAATGAAGGAGATGTCCTCACCTAGTGATTGTATGAGACAACCCCAACCTAGAATTTGTAGGAGACATCCTCCACCTAGAGTTTGTAGGAGAAGTCCTCTACCAAGAGAATGAAGGAGATGTCCTCACCTAGTGATTGTAGGAGACAACCCCAACCTAGAATTTGTAGGAGACATCCTCCACCTAGAGTTTGTAGGAGAAGTCCTCTACCAAGAGAATGAAGGAGATGTCCTCACCTAGTGATTGTAGGAGACACCCCAACCTAGAGATTGTAAGAGACTTGCTCCACATAGTGATTGTAAGAGACGTCTGGCAAATGTTTAACATATGGAGGATTGCATTGAAAACGAAATGCATAATACACGGTGGTAGTGGGGAAACCCGAAGAAATGTCCTCCTGGCAAATGAGTAAGATGTGGAGGACTGCAGTGAATATAAAATATAAAACACACAGGGTAGTGGGAAACCTGAAGGAAGTCGAAGCTAGACAATAAGAAAATAATGAACAAAACTCAAATCACTCGTAAGGTTGCCGGGCCGAATACGGTAAACATTGAATGAGCGAAAAATTTATATTTTTAAATACAAAACATTTGTATAAGTGATGACAGAAAAAAATTTAATAATTAAAAATCATTGGCATATCCACTTTCAATGTATCAGTATGTGTATCAGTCTATATTTAAGTTAACGTATCAGACAATGTATCAGTCGAAATATCAGACAATGTATCAGTCGAACTATCAGACAATGTATCAGTCTATGTATCAGTCAATTTATCGGTAAATATATCAGGCAATGTATCAGTCACAATGCATATGTCTAAACACAATGACAGAAGGACGAGAAAATATTGTGTGCTTCTGGGTCAAATGTAACAGTCTATGTAACAGTCAATGCATCAGTGAATTTATCAGTCAATGTGTCAGTCAATGTTTCAGTCACTGTATCAGTCAATGAATCAGACAATTTATCAGTCTATATATCATTCAAAGTATCTGTCAATGTATCCGTCGAAGTATGAGTCAATGTTTCAGTCTATTTATCAGTCAACGAATCGGTCAATTTATCAGTTGATGTGTTGTTCGATCATGTTTTACTATCGTCAACATAAAAGGAATCGACTCTGAACTCTGCTATTTTCTGCTCTTCTGTGAGGTGAAAAATCATGGCCAAGAAAAGCGGCACCCAGTGAGAAACCTCAAAAAGGGCGCCCCTTAATTTGCATAAAACGTGACAACAGGGGCGAATCAACAGCAAGACTATTTTAGGGGTCCTCCTCCTTGTGAAGCACATTGGATGTTGCCGCTTAATTCACTATAAGGTTAAATCTAAAAACTACTTTGGCGCCCCATAATGTAGGCACCCGTGGTGAGGGCTCCATTCCCCCCCCCCCTGAAACCCACACCCTTCACTCGGCCCTGATCATAATAAAATATAATATCCGTATTAAGATGAATATTGCATTGGCTTTTTTTTTCAAACCACATAGTTTTGATGAGATCAAAGATACTCACTTGGACTGGCTAGATCAAAGATACTCACCATGGTTTGAACGGATCAAAGGTACTTACGAGGGTAACTGGATCAAATATACTTACCATGGTTTGACCGGATCAAAGGTACGCATTTGGGTTTAACTGGATCAAAGATGCCCACTTGGGTTTCGACTGAATCAAAGTTATCCACCATGGGCAGACCGGATAAAAGATACCCACTTGGGTTTGGTCCTGACCGGGGATACCTCACAATGTTTCACCACAGCGTGCGTCATCAATGGTTTGTTTCATGCTCTGAGTGTTTTGAACTTTTTTATTCAACTATTTTTTTATTTTTTATTTATAGCTTTTTTAAATCTTTATTTCAGAAGAGTGTCAACTTCCTTTGTTTGAAAGATCTGGCGGACTCCTCCGAGAAGTTTAGTCTTAGTGAATTTTCTCACGATTTCCAAACTGTCAACAAACATCAGCTGATTGTGCTGGCTTCAGTGAGTTGTAGTGATAGTTCAGATGTACGGCTGCCGTAGAAGCAAACCAATTAATTTGCTTGGACGATTCATTAGACTCAACAAAATGCATAAAAACAATGAAGAGAGCGTGGATGAGAAATTTCTATTTGATGATAGCGGTGATGAGGAATTTATTGTGTAAAAAAAAAAAAATTTATTATTAGCTTTCGGAGCATTTATTCAAGACAAGAGAAAAAGCATAACATACTTATGATACTTTGGATACTGAAAAAGTAACTTGGATTGGATTACTCTTACT